GAATAGAATAGAATAGAATAGAATAGAATAGAATAGAATAGAATAGAGTCTGATTGGACACACAAGGAATTTGTCTTTGGTGCATACGCTCTCAGTGTACATAAAAGACAAGATACATTCGTCAAGAATCATAAGGTACAACACTTAATGATAGTCATAGGGAAACAGTCAATATAAATCTTAAGGATACCAGCAACAAGGTTACAGTCGTGCAGTTATAAGTGGGAGGAGATGGGTGATAGGAACGATGAGAAGATTAATAATAATAGTAATGCAGACTTAGTAAATAGTTTGACAGCGTTGAGGGAATTATTTGTTTAGCAGAGTGATGGCATGGGGGGGGGAAACTCTTTTTGTGTCTAGTTGTTCTGGTGTGCAGTGCTCTATAGCGTTGTTTTGAGGGTAGGAGTTGAAACAGTTTATGTCCAGGATGCGAGGGGTCTGTCAATATTTTCCCAGCCCTCTTAATCTTAGATTAAAGGAAAGAAAGACTAGATTGACATGATAGCAGTCTTCCAGTATTTGAGAGGAGGAGAAGAAGAGGAGGAGGTCAACCTATTCTCCAAAGCACCTAAAGGCAGAACAAGAAGCAATGGATGGAAACCTATCAAGGAGAGAAGCAAACTAGAACTAAGGAGAAATTTCCTGACAGTGAGAACAATTAACCAATGGAACTACTTGCCTCCAGAAGTTGTGGGTGCTCCAACACTGGAAGTTTTAAAGAAGATATTGGATAACCATTTGTCTCAAATTATATAAGGTCTCCTACTTGACCAGGGGGGTGGCCTAGAAGATCTCTAAGGACCCTTCCAGTTCTGTATTCTAAATGGTACAGGGTTTCCTGCCTGAGCAGGGGGTCTCTTTCTCATCTGCTCAATTACCAAGGTTATTTCATGTCACTGTCATATAGACCGCCATCTACTCCAGGGAGGCCTGGAAATCTACAACAAGAATTATTCGTAAAATCAATGTCTTCCAGCAACATTGGGAGAAATGAACAAATAGCCTATTGGACTACCAGAGTCTATAGGTCTCAGAAGGATAGCAGGTCCCCCCCAAAAAGACCCACGGGAAACAAAGTTTTAGATAGAAAGATTTCATAATGTATCCAAACTATTTGTAATCCTGCTGAGCCGTCGCTGTGAAATATGATTTTGCAAAATACATAGTTTTGAAATCCATTTGGACATATCAAATGCAATGTCCTTCCCCCAGGAGTGGGGTGGGAATGGGGATTTTGCAATATCCTTCCCCCAGGAGTGGGGAGGGAATGGGGATTTTGCAATATCCTTCCCCTGGAGTGGGGTGGGAATGGAGATTTTGCAGTATCCTTCCCCTGCCACCCTCACCAAGCCATGCCCACCAAACTACACCACACCCACCAAGCTACGCCCATAGAACCGGTAGTAAAGAAATTTGAATTCCACCACTGGACTACGCTTGTAAGCCCCATGTGCTTGACACAGGACACGAGGGGTGGGGGGGAAAGGAATTACCAAGAAATCCAGACTTACCTTTCCTTCTGGAGACAGCTTCCAAACGACAGAGAAGGTCAGCCTGTCTGTCATGGGATTAAGGCTGCAGAGTTCCTCACACAGCAGTTGGGGAAGCATCGGGATCACCTGGAAAGAGAAGAAGCACATGGACACCTGAACATGAGCTCCTGGGGCTGAGATCAGGAAGCATCTCCCAGGCCCAAAACCAAAACTAGTTCAACGGAGAGGAAGCCATCTCTGCCATGGTTGAGTTTGCTCGGCTTTTTCCAGGGGAAGAAGCAGCGTTGAAATCCTGACATCTCCTACTGGTTCGGTGAATTTGCTACCGAGTGCACGCTTTGCGCTTGAGGCGCACCCGTGCAGCGTTAAAAAAGGAACATTTTGAAGCCTTCCGAGTCTGCAAAGGTAAGTAGAACAGCGAGGGGGGGGCGAATCCGCTGTGCCACGCGATTTAGATTAGCTAGAAAGCAGGAAATCCAACGATTCTAGCTAGTATAAATCGCGCCTCACAGCTGATCGTCGCCCAGCTGATCGTCGGAAATACCACTTCGCCTGAACCGGTAGCATGTTTTACTACCGGTTCAGGAGAACTGGTCCGAACCGGTAGCATTTGTTGTGGTCTGCCAGCAGCCTGCGGACCTGACAGTGAGGAGGCCGGGGAGGACCATGGGCCAGTCCTGGAGGCTGGGGAAGGCCCAGATGAGGGCTCTGCGTCGGAGGCAGAGATGGGGCCAGAGCCATCGGGGAGCAATGCGTGGACTCCGGAGCCTCCAGAGGCTGACAGTAGAGAGGCAGAGGAACAGGAGGAGCCTGTTCCTAGTGCACACATGCGAAGAACTGCCAGAAGGCAGGAGCAGCTGAAGCAAAAAGGACGACTCAGGAGTAAGGCCAGGAGATGATTGGGCCTTCCCATAAGGCTTAAAAGAACAGAAACGAGCCCTTGGGTTCTTTGTAGAAAAGTAACATTGATTCCAGTGCTTCTTGTTAGCGTCTCTTGAACTTTGTGGGGGTTTTGCCAAGAAAAGCCTTTGGCAGGTTGCCAAAGACATCAAAGGTTGGTGATAAGGCGGAAGAATTTATTTTGGACTAAAGCTGAGAATGAATTAATTCTCAGCTGTTTTAATAAAATAAGTTTGTTCAGGGCTGAATTGTGTTTGGCAATCACTACTTGGGCCTCAGTCACAACAGCATTTCCCCTCTGGGAAGAAGTGACAGAAACTGGAGGTGGTGTTAAAAGAGGAATCGGCCTAGAATCTCCACGTAGTCACAAGCAAACTAACTCCCCCATGAATTTTGTTGACCCTTATCTAATTCCAAGCAAGTGCTAATCCTTAGTTGAGAACAGTCCTGTGCATAGGCCTGAGTAGCAATAAATCAGCTTAACCGGATCTTCACATGCTGACCTGATTTGTAGGACATAACAGCACTGCTCTGTTCAGTGGTAGGAAACAGAATAACAGAGTTAGGAGGGACCTTAGAGGTCTTCTAGTCCAACCCCCTGCCCAGGCAGGAAACCCTACACCACTTCAGACAAATGGTTATCCAACGTCTTCTTAAAAACTTCCAGTGTTGAAGCATTCACAATTTCTGGAGGCAAGTTGTTCCACTGTTTAATTGTTCTAACTGTTCTAATAAAATCCTCTTATAATCTGTAATTACTACATCATGGTGGGGAAATGCAGAATCCATATACCAGGTTTGAAAACGCAGGTAGTCCTCAACTTATGACCACAATTGTGCTCAACACTTTTCTTGCTAACGTAGAGGGTGGTGAAGTGAATTTTGGCCCCTTTTATGACCTTTCTTGCCACAGTTGTTAAGTGAATCATTGCGGATGTTAAGTAAGTAACACGGTTGCGAACCGAATCTGGCTTCCCCATTGCTTGTCAGAAGGTCGCAAAAGGGGATCACGTGACCCCGGGGCACTGCCACCATCGTAACTAAGAGTCAGTTGCCAAGCGTCTGAATTTCGACCACGTGACCATGGGAAATGCTGCAAGGGTCTTAAGTGTAAAAAACAGTCGTAAGTCATTTTTTTCAGGGCCGTTATAACTTCCAACGGTCGCTAAATGAAGAATAGCAATAGCACTTAAACCTATACACTGCTTCGGTAAATCAAGGACTACCTGGAAAGCTTAGTAAAATAAAATTTTAATTCTTTTAAAATTTTAAAATCTTAAGTTCCGGAGTTCGCAGTATGTCTGCTTCTTTTTTTACTGATATACCTGGAACTCGTATTTTTAAGAATAGTTTGTAATATATACTGCTCAAAAAAATAAAGGGAACGCAAGCAGAAGACACCCGAGATCTGCATGAATGAAATAGCCTTATTAAATACTTTGTTCGTTACATACAGTAGTTTATACACTGCTCAAACAACTAAAGGGAACACAAAACTACTGTATGTAACGAACAAAGTATTTAATAAGGCTATTTCATTCATGCAGATCTCGGATGTCTTCTGCTTGTGTTCCCTTTATTTTTTTGAGCAGTGTGTGTGTGTGTGTGTGTGTGTGTGTGTGTGTGTGTGTTGTGTGTGTATATATATAAATTTTATTTTAGTACATATAATCCATCTTCCATTAAACAGGGTGTCATCTGGGTACAAATGTTTGTGCAATAACAGTTAAAATTTACAATCATATTCATTATTTAATCTCTTCTTAGCTTAATACCAATACATTAAATATCTAATACTTCACATCCTCTTCTTAGTTTGCTTAACTCTATTAACTATTTTCTATATTTTACTCATCTACTTTTATTTCTAATTTTTTTACTTGTCCTCTAGCCATCGATAAAATGTTTCCCATATCGCATAATAATCACGTTGTTCTTTCTCTTTAATTGCCAGTGTTAATCTATTCATTTCTGCGCATTCTAATATTTTCCTTCTCATACTCTCAATATCATATTCTGAACTGCTATTTCTGAATGGCCAATTGCCTCATTTAAAAAAAAAAAAAGAACACTGAAGGGGAGATTTCATTAAAACAGGGAAACAAATAATCAATAGCACCCTTATTATTTTGCTGGCACATCTGTCTGCTACTGCATTAGCTGTCGTTCTCTGTTTATGCCACCTTAAGCAAAGTTTGGGGGGGGGGAGAAATGGAGGTTGTGACAGATTTTATTTTCCTGGGCTCCACGATCACCGCAGATGGGGACTGCAGCCAAGAAATTAAAAGACGCTTGCTCCTGAGGAAGAAAGCTATGGCAAATCTAGACAGCATTCTAAAAAGCAGAGGCATCACCCTGCTAACAAAAGTGCGTATAGTCAAGGCTCTGGTTTTCCCAGTTGCAATGTATGGCAGTGAAAGTTGGACCATAAGGAAGCCTGAGTGCCAAAGAATGGAGGCCTTTGAGCTCTGGTGCTGGAGAAGACTCCTGCGAGTCCCTTGGACTGCAAGGCCATCCAACCGGTCAGTCCTAGAGGAGATCAACCCTGACTGCTCTCTAGAAGGCCAGATCCTGAAGAGGAAACTCAAATCCTTTGGCCACCTAATGAGAAGGAAGGACTCCCTGGAGAAGAGCCTAATGCTGGGAACGATGGAGGGCAAAAGGGGACGACAGAGAACGAGGTGGCTGGATGGAGTCACCGAAGCAGTCGGCGCGAGCTTAAATGGACTCCAGAGGATGGTAGAGGACAGGAAGGCCTGGAAGAACGTTGTCCATGAGGTCGGACACAACTTCACAACTAACATCAACAACAACAAAGCAAAGTTGTCTTTCAAATGCAAAAAAGTCCATTTGAAAGAAAGAAGGGGGAAAAAAAAAAAGAACGATAATAATCCATCGTGCCCGTGCACCAGTTTTGGAAAGCGCCTCCTTGTTCATCTTCACCCCAAGAGCCTCCATGGGAAAGCTCTTAAAAAATATTTAATCACGTTTGCGGCTTGGCACCCGATTCCCACCTCCCCCCCCCCCCCCCCCCCCCCCCCCCCCCCAACCCCCCCCCCCTTGCCCGGCCGCGGTTGGGAGAAGGAGAGGGAGAGAGGCTGGCGTGGAGTCTGGATGGGAAACGGAGTCCGCTTTCCATATAAATCAGCAGGGTTGGCCTGGAAGGTCAGGAGGCAGCCCGAAAGGCGATAAGCTTGTTCCTCCTGGATACAGAAGCCGCCAGCTGTGTTGTTCCAACGGCAAAGGAGCACGTTGACAATGGGAGCCCGGGCATAATTTACAGATTTCCTACGTGAGGTTGGCCATGCTTTGGCCCAACAATGAGAGGCTCTCCCTTGGGAGGGGGCCATGCCCTGGCCGAGGGCGGGGAGGAGGGAGGGAGTGTTAAAAAGTCCGCGGAGTTCAGTACTGGATAATAATCCCAGGGAGGTCAGACAGATGCAACAACCAGCCAGCCAGCCAGGCATGCTGGGGAATTCTGGGAGTTGAAGTCCACACATCTGCAAGCCAGTAAGATTGAGACTCACCGGCCAGAGCCCACTTTGCCAAAAAAGCATTAAGAGTTGTGAACCTAATCTTGCGTAGCTTCTTCTCTGGTTATATCGTACTGCTAACTAGAGCATACAAAACCTTTGCTGGACCAATTCTTGAATACAGCTCATCTGTCTGGAACCCTGGAGCACTGCATACCGGACATTAATACAGTTGAGAGAGTCCAGAGATATTTTACGAGAAGAGTGCTCCATTCCTCTAATTGCCATAAAATATCTTATGCCACCAGACTTCAAATTTTGGGCTTAGACAACTTAGAACTACGCCGACTTCAGTCTGACCCAAGCATAGTACATAAAATTATCTGCCACAATGTCCTTCCTGTCAATGACTACTTCAGCTTCAATCACAACAATACACGAGCAAATAATAGATACAAACTCAAGGTAAACCGCTTCAATTTTCGATTGCAGAAAATACGACTTCAGCAACAGAGTGGTCAAGGCCTGGAATGCACTACCTGACTCTGTGGTTTTCTTCCCCAAACCCCCAAAACTTTAACCTTAAACTGTCTACTGTCAACCTCACCCCATTCCTCAGAGGTCTGTAAGGGGCGTGCATAAGTGCAGCAGCGTGCCTACCGTCCCTGTCCTAATATTCCTTTTTACTCTTACTCTTTTCATGTATTCAAATTATGTTTATACTTTTACCTGTTATCTTATATATGCTTGACA